CTCTTCCGTTATTCTAGCCCAGCCTATTGTAACACCCATGATTTAATTCACCCAATTACAGCTAAGCGTTCTGCTAACGTAAGTGTGATTTTAACTCTTATATCAGAGACATGCATTGTTTTGTTTAAACTTCTATCTTCAGTCAAATGGTAAGAATGTGTGTGCACGTATGAACAGCCTATGCCCTCCAAAATATGTATACATTTAAGTCAGGTCGAACTATACCTCAGAAAGCTATTTCCTTGCGTAGGCGTAATCTAACATAAATCCACTTTATTTTTACATCAACGAACTCTATTTAACCGAACTGAAGATCCTGTTTTATAACAACGGTACATAAATTATAAAACAACATTATTGTATTCATTGTTGTCGTTTCTCCTTCCGTTTTCCTTCACCGATTTTGTCGATACGCCTCCGTTATCGACTTTATAGTCCAACAGAAATATATAGATGTCTACTGCAGTATGGGCTCTTGAAAATCGCTTGATGCATAAAGCGATCAATGAGCTGACACGGCGATAAACAATAATAAATAATAATCTTCACAGAAACCAAATGCTCTAGTCAACACAATCCCCTATAAGTTGGCATTAGCGCTAATTTAATACGTTTCGATCCATTGTTCCCAATGATTCAAAGTGCGAATGTTATTCAAGAACCAAGCATTAAATGAGAATATCTTGCCCCGTTTAAGAAATTTAAAGCATTAAATATGCATGGAATCTTACTTTACATGCTATAGGGCATATTTGTATGACAGAAAAAGAGAGAGATACAATTCCAGGGGGAGTAATTGCTTACATTCCTCTAAACTTAAACTTTCTTTATTTTCCTTCCTTTTTAATCATCACTTTAGTTTTATACGTCACCTCGAGAGTAAGCGAGTCATGTATTTTACTCGGTTCAGAAATCCCTGCTTGAAAAATCTTCTTTGGTTCTCACGCAGACGAGAAGAGAGGATCTGCCTTTTTTAGTGTAATGGAAACAGTATTTGTCTAGAAGCTTCAGCATAAAATTACTTTATATTAATATCTGATACGCCGCTTCTCTTAGCGTGCTTAAATCGATTCACAGCTGTATGTGAACTTGAGCGGAACCAGATTTAGGCAGCTGTTAGCGCTACCACCTTCCCACGCTCAACACTCTGACAATACCTGTCTTGCTCACTTCTTGAGCTAATGAAATCACAAGACAGTAAACAATAAACACAAGAAAATGTTACCACTGCACGTGAAACGTACGATATATTTCGAATTCTACAATCGCAGGTATAGAACATTACGACAATAAAATTTGCTGCGGGATTTACAGAAATGGGGGGCAGATGACAGAATTTGTAAAATGGCCATTAATTATTCTTCCATGAATAAATTATGATTTTCGACATGCCTGCTTTAGGCAATTAAGTACAGTTTTGTAAAAAAATTAAATTGTGTCACTGGAGTCAAATTGTTACTGGTAAACAAATGTACCGCCGATTATGGGGGCCGCACGAACTGCCAAGGCACGTATGGATTTATGGATGTATGTACTGTGTAGGTACAAGCCATGTGATGGGCAGGCCACAGATGCAAGTGGTTCTACCTAATGTTTAGAAGGACGAATAATTCCAGAAGTAGTTCTGAGTTAGAACAGGGTGCAAGGCGTGATCATTAGAAGTAAATCAACATTATTCCCACAATCACATTACTAATTCCGTGATTCTGCTCTATACACGTCCGTCACTATCTTCTCCTGGATGGTTCCATTGACCGGCAATAAACGCACGAGTCCAAAGTCCACCGTTTAACGAGGGAAAATTATCCAAAAGTCAGGGCCAATATCAGTGACCACGTAGAGGTCCAGAGAAAATTAAAATCTGCTCCGAGAAGGTTTAACTCGGCGGTAGATTTAATCTGGAAGTTGACCTGTTTTAACCATGGACTTCAATTGCTTTTCTTCGACAATATAATTTTCTACAAGCTGTATAAATGCTCTTTGTATGCAAGAAATTGTCTTCTTATCGTTCCGTATATTCTGAAAACATTTCCACTCAGAATTTGGATGAAACATCAATTTACTGTCGCTACAAAGTGTTGTCCGAGGACTTTTATTTTTATGAGATCCAGCTAATGCAGTTGTGCAATGTACAGAAACTTTGTCGAAAAGTTTATATGTTCCTGAAACACAGACGTCCATTATTTGCCACTATTCTCACTGCAGATAGGAAAGTACAGAGCTACTACATTTTCCAGAAAATTCTTCACTTTGTTTGTTACGTATTACTGTGCCTGGTCCGCAGAATTAAAACACCGAAAGTGTCATATATTACATAGAAAAATGTTATGTGATTTATGGAACCTTAAAACCGGTTAGCTTCTACGCAAAGAAGTCACTAATTTCTATACTCGACTAGATTAATCAAGCCTAAAATCTCATAATCTATTTATTTAGGATCCAGTTTAATACTGTCATCCTAATTAATCTCAAGAAAATACGTAGTTCAGATATTCTGATTATAATTTTGTTCACATTTCTGACATGTAATTCCTTCCACAAGTGCTACCCATCTCATCCTCCTCATGGTCTACAGCAGGGATTCTCAACCCTTTTCGCTGGCGTAACACTAATTCTAATTTCACACATTAAATGTACCACAAACCATATGTGTTCGGGGAAAACTTATTTATGTTAATATTGTCTTTTGATTTTCTTACTTAGTTCGCGTACCACTCAACATCGGCTCGCGTACCACCAGTCGTACGCGTACCATAGGTTGAGAAACGCTGGTCTACAGCATGTAACGTCTAAAACATCTGTCTCTCCTTAAATTGCATTATCAGCTCTTTCAATATAGGCTTAACCCATAATCACGCAGCAGTCATATACCCTATCCCCTTCTCTTAATTTGCTTTTGTAAATTCAAACATTCGGTACCTATGAAACGTTGATAAACTTCTACCAGACTATACAGTGCTACAAGCCAGAATACAGCCATCTTGGTACTCACCGCCGTGAGAACTTCAAATCCTACTCCGTTCATGAACACTCAACATAACCAACTGCAATTGCTGAAGGGCGTGGAGTTCAATGTTACATATAGTCTACACTAGTCATGTATAAACACTGGCATTATTAGTTGGTGCAGTACAACACTTGTATCCACTAATTCATCAAAGTTATACACGTAAGACCACAAAAAACACACACTGAATAGTCGGTCACATGACAGGTAATCGCATGCCTCAAATACCTTATGAAAATAACTGTTCATAAATTACAAGTGAACCATCAGAAACGTCACCTCCCGGCGTCTTCACGAAGCTGAAAGAACACGCGATGTCTAATCGGAGATTATCTGAGAATACCATTAGGTGACAGTAACGTAGAACTTTTGCAAAAGAGGGATATATGCGGAAGATGGAATCATATTAGTACGAGCCATAACAGCCAAGCTGACACTAAAACTAGTTAAACATCTGTGATATGCGAAAGGAAGTTTTGCAGTAAAAATGAATCTGTAATAAAACACTTTATCTCCCAACTGATACTGTTGTGCCACAGTAATAATCTTCCTTTTTATGACTGAGACTAAGTGTGGTTTCTTCTGTGTTAATCAGCAAGACACTGGAAGAATTAAACTTATTACAAGCCTTTGGTTTCTTCTGTGTATGACCCGTCTTAATTTACTTCACGGAAAATTAATATCCCATTGCAAATGGCTTGCTCTGGTGACTTGACGGTTCATGAAAGTGAATCAGTTCCCACTCCCACTTCTCATTATAGGAAAATAACGCCAAAATAGGCTGTAAAATCTATAACTGTGGGAAACTCCAGCCGACCAGATCCCAGCAAGATATCTTACTAACTGAGCCAGCATAGCATATAGTTCAGACATTTTCTGCAAACATTTTTCAAATATTAGTATTCGGTGTAAACTAATAATATTTCTGATTGTCGATAATATGAATAAATGTATATTAATGAAACCAGATGGTTTTTTGGAGAGATTTCTTCGACCTTTAAAGGGTTAAGATTGATAGTGAATTATATATATCACATATGTACATTATGAAATTCATGAATTCTCAATACTCGACTCTGGTATTAATGCACCATTTTACGAACTTTTTAATTTTGTTTAACGAAATCGCAATTCGATTGGCATTTATTTTTTGGAACACTTAACTTTCTACAACAAAGTGAAATTCTGGAGTTTTATAGTTAATCATTGAATTGCCCACAAATGTGCATGTAGTCGTCTACATTGTAGTTAATCTAGGATCGTTTCAATCTTACCTACAAGTTGTGTTGGCTAAACTGTTCCATGATGGCGGCTCGAATAAATGCGGGACAGTGCTTGACTTGCGATGTAGGTCTCTCGGTTCTATAGAGGACATGTTTGTTTTGAACTTTGTGAAGCATAATTGTGTAATTCTGCATAGAGTTGAATGTACAACTGAGTGATAAATTAAACGTTGAAATATGGAAAATAGTGATGATGTACCTTTAAGTGATGAAGAGCCCGTCACAGCACAAATAGTTCTTCGAACATTGCAAGAAGTTTGGTTAAACGAGAAGTTTAGTCCAGAATTATTGCAGCACCAGTCAGATTTGGTTGATTGTATGCTGGACCAGATACAGCAGATGGAAGAAAATTTGTGCAAACTTAAGAAGAACGACTTCCGTGTTGTAATTCATCGGATGGAATTGGACCGGATACGATATATGGTTACAGATTACTTGAGGATAAGATTAAATAAAATAGAACAGTATGTAATTCATATTCTTGAGCAAGAAACCAGTAGGAGTCCAGAAGATGCATTTCTGTCTCCACCAGAACATAAATTTGCAAGGGAATATCTTGCCCATATGGAAGACCATTTCAGACTAATTGCCTTGAGACATATGCCATCCAATGTACAGGATTTTGACAAAACTAAAATGGCAGTGGCCCCAAACATTTCAAGTCATATTTTCCTTCGTGTTAAAAAGAACATTACTGGTGTAGTGATAGAAGGTGACAGTGAAAATCGAGATGAAGAAGTTGATTTGGATGAGAACTCACAGCATATTATGCAGTATAAGCCAATAGCTGATTACCTCAAATCAGGGGCTGTACAGTTAGTTTAACTGTCATGTTATAACTTTAACGGTCTCTCCTTAGGACAGTTTCTCAACATATGTACTTAGTGAGTTTGCCTATGCCTAATTTTTTTTATATGCATAAAAAAGTATATAAATATATACCACATCCACTCTGACAATAACAATATCCTTTGTATTACTTATCTAGAGAGGTTGCATATGAGTCCTGGCTGGCCATTCCTTATAAAATCATATTTATTAACATAATAAAACACAGTGACCATTGGCATCGTGCAGCATTCATAATGACATTTCCCAATGGTACTAACATTAACCACTGTAAGTTTCTAATTACTGCAATTTTTCAGGTAATCATAATTTGAGGTTAGAAAGATTGACATGGATAATCCAGTTTCCCTAATTGGGTTGGGAATTGTTACTATAAAGTGTGTGAGCAGGTAACTGGGATATGACAAGTGAGAAGATATTTAGCAACATAACACATGCCCTGCATTTACCCACAAAAGAGATTACCTATGTATTTTCTGAGGTAAGCCCCTGGTAAAATGCCACCATGCATCAACTTGTATGACAATACAAACAAGTAGAAATAGCCCAGGACCTCTTGAGTGACAGGCTGCTAACCATTCAATTATGATATTTGGTGTACAGTGTAATAGTATCTTTTGATTTCACTGAGGTTTGCAGTTACCAAAGCAATGTATTCTGTGCATTCACATATGCCCAGTGATATTAAAATGGGACTAAACTGTAAACCAAATGTTTTCAAGGAATTTCAAACTTGTCCTCTGGGAAACCTAAAATGTGGAGCACAAAAGTTGTCTTCATTATTTTTTGAGAGATTACTACATTTCATGTTGTAAGAAAAGTTGCACTTGAATAATTTTGAAAATGTATATTCCTTTTAAAGTGCAAACAATGATAAGCATATATTCTCCAAAAAATAAAATAAATTAGTTACTGACTGACTGAATTGTGTACACATTACTTGTTGTAGTAACTCTATTATACTTTCAGCATGTATATGATATGAATATGGAAAGTGGCCAGTTAAAAAGAATAAACTGTACACAGCAAAATACAGGGTCTTTTTTATCACAGAACTGTATCTGAACAATTCTAGGTTGCAGTATGATATAGATGCTTTAATATTCAGTTCTACCCAAGGCAGCTCTGGTATGCAGAATTTAAATTAAGTATTATGTTCAAAGAATTTTCATATAAAGCAGTTATTGCAAGAAAAATTGTGCCAAGAATAATCTTGTTTTGCAGTGCCATGCGAAATAGTGGAAAGTTTCATGTTGACAGGTACAGTGCTGTTTCTCAGTGAAACCTCTACTCTGAAGATGATAAATTTCTTCAAAATGTTGGTAACCACCTATAAGACTACATAGATACACAACCCAAAAAACATGACATGAAAATCACAATTTTTTTCCAAAAATGAACTAAATGCTGTATGAAGGAAGCTTATAAAGGTTGTCCCTGGGCTCTTAAGTGTAGTGCATCAAAAGTTCAGCTCACATTGTGGAAAAAAATACATTTATGTGAACTTGCCAGAAGTGCCGTCAGCTGCCATTACCACACAGTTCAGCACTCTTCTTTGACTCATAGGCTGAAAACATCATTGCTCAAAGGATATAAAGTACCAATACTTTAATACTGATCATATATTTAAATTAAGTATTTTTTGCCATTTTATCACAATTGAAGTAACATTTAAAGGATATATCTCATACAGATTATGCCATTCTAATTCTGTCATACACTGTGATTAACATAATCATAATCACTTTCCTGAATAAGTTCATTCAAAGATGGAATTCACATTAGATCACATATCTAGAGTAAAGCTGCAGGGTGTAGATAAAACACTTTACTTCCACAAGTACACAGAATCTTCCAATCTGATTATTCATTTTAATTGCTGTAACAGCTCGAGAGTTATGCATCTGTAATATTCTGCTCCAACA